TTCGAAGGCGTCAATACCATGAGTGGCAGGTGGCTGAATTTTACAGAGACTTGCCACCGTCTCTAACCCTCCTCCTTTCTCATCCTGGCTTGGGACCGGCCATGGCGGAGTTAAAGATAGTATATGCAGTGATTTTGAATTGAAGTTAACAAATATCAATTATTTAAACAGTTTATATTTTAAATGATGTCTTAGGTTTTTGATTTTGTGTCGACTGATACATAGATAGGTGTTTGGAGATTAATGGTTCGGTACACGAAATACAATAGAGAATAGAGCAGCTCTTTGTCGACGGGTTTCGCTACATAGACATAGCATTATCAGGGCTAAGCAGACTCTTTTAGTTACTTTAGTACTGTACTTCTGGCGCAGGGAGTGCGGTACAGTCTTAAATTCGGAACAGTGGCTGCAAAAATATTACATCTCAAGATAGCGAGCGAATTGCTCTCTATTTTTGGATTGTAGGTGTTTCTTATGCATTTTGAATATTTTTGATATAAAGACAAGGTTTAAATAGCATATTGATGCGTTTGTAGCGATGACGAACTCGATTTAAAGCGTGATACATTTATTGACAATTTAATCGCGTAACGACGGATTCCATTCAGACTGATCTTGCATATTTCTTCCTGCCTGCTAATGACGCTTTTATGCGTTTGAGCAGCCTTAACTGCTTTACAGGTGTTTGTTTTCAGCCAATTGGCTTTCTTTCGAATTTTATGATGGAAACTTTTCTTGAAGAATACCTACTATTTTGATTGTTGTTCGAACATTAATTATCATTCATTATTCAGTAAATAGAAGTACATTGTTGGCAGACATACCCGCCCATTCTTTGCAGACAATGGGAAGAGTGTCTTTCAGAATTCGTCTCGTCAGAACTTCTAAACGGTTTTTTTTTCAGGTGAAGCTAATCGAAGAGATGGTTGTACCCTGAACCTACCAATCACCTAGTGGTAAATATTGCCTTTTAAATAAGGCCTTCTGGCTGATGGTATAGAAACGGATGAAATGTGCTTAATAAGGCATTCATAATTAAAGTGAAAACTTAATGAGGTTAACATCGTTCCCGTTGCAAGCGTTCCCTTTTCGTATTCTTTCTTTCCATTTGTAAAAATATTTAACATACCTGCAGATCAAATATGCATTGCGGTAATAACGAGTTGGGAACCGCGCAGCGTACGTGCGGAATCTCGGCGGCAGACGTCATGAAGAAGTTGGTGCAGGTGTGGTGATTGGCCGAATTACGGCTGATGGCACTTAAGAAGACGCTGAGAAGCGCAGTACGTAAGGCTTAAACGCTAAAGTTGTGTTTGTCGGTGGTCTGGTGTCGATGGTCGACTAGGTGTATGTAACCCGCGATACGAGACGAGCGGTCGGGCTGCGCGGCGGTCACCTGAAAGCAAAGTATGGAAGTGAACCACATTGGTCTTCCAGGGGAAGGGGGGCCACCGTTGGTGGATTTCGCGTTTCTGAAAGCGGCTACGGTG